ATTTAGGGACGGCTAGCGCAGATATCCCTCGTGTAGCTTTGCACGAAATTCAAAACAAACAAACCAAACCTTTATTCATAACCTAAAAAAACTCAATTATCTAGAGTTGAGTCCTTTACTCCCAATCCAAGAAAACTCGCTTATCTAGAGTTGGGTTCTTTACTCCCAATCCAAGAAAAACTCGCTTATCTAGAGTTGGATCCTTTACTCCCTATTTAAGAAAAACTTTTTTATTTAAGAGTTCGGTCCTTTACTGAAAAACCATAAAAAGTTGTTTATCTAAAGTTTGGTCATTTACTTCCATTACGAAAAAATATTGCTTATCTAGATTTGGGTTCGTTATTCCCAATCCAAGAAAAACTTACTTATATGACATTGGTTCCTTTATTCCCAATCCAAGAAAAACTTGCTTTTCTAGAGTTAGGTCCTTAACACCCTATCCAACATAAGGCTGCTTATCTAGGGTTCAATCATTTGCTCACATTTAAGAAAAGCATGCTTATCTGGAGTTGAGTCTTTTACTCCAAAGCCAAGAAAAGCTTGTTTATGTGGTGTTAAGTCCTTTACTCACAGTCCAAGAATTGGGTCTTTTACTCCCAAAACAAGAAAAATTTCCTTATCTAGTGTTGGGTCCTTTATTCACAATCTAAAAATAACTTACTTATCTGGAGTTCAGTCTATTACTTCCAATCCAAGAAAAACCTGCCTATCTAGAGTTAAGTTCTTTACTCCCAATCGAAGAAACACTTCCTTATCTAGAGTTGGATCCTAAACTCCCAATCCAACATAAACTTCCTTATCTAGATTTCGGTCCTTTATTCCCAATCCAAGACAAATATTTTTTTGTAGAGTTGGGTCCTTTAGTCCAAATACAAGAGAAACTATCTTATCTAGAGTTGGGCTCTTTATTTACTATAAAAAATTATTATCTAGAGTTTGGTAATTTACTTCGATTACAAGAAAAACTTGCTTATCTAGGGTTGGATCCTTCATTCCCCATCCAAGATAAACTTGCTTTTCTAGAGTTAAGTCCTTTACTCCCAATACAAGAGAAAATATATTTTCTAGAGTTTGGTTCTTTTCTCCCTATCCAAGAAAAAACATTCTTATTTAGAGATCGGTCATTTACTCAAACACCATAAAAGTTGTTTATATAGAGTTTGGTCATTTACTCCCTTTACAAAAAAATAAAAAAAGTTGCTTAAGTAGATTTGGGTCCTTTTCTCACAATCCAAGAAAAATTTGTCTTTTACTACTAATCCCAGAAAAACTTGATTATCTACAGTTGAGTCCTTTACTCCCAATACAAGAGAAACTATATTATCTAGAGTTTGGTTTTTTACTCCCAATCCAAGAAAAACATGTTTATCTAGTTTTGGGTCCTTTATTCACAACCGAAAAATAAGTTTCTCATCTAGAGTTGGGTCGTTTGCTTCCAATCAAAGAAATATTTGCTTATCTAGAGTTGGGTGGTTTGCTCCCAATCCAATAAAAACTTCCTTATCTGGAGTTGGGTCCTTTACTCCCAATCCAAGAACAACTTGCTGATCTGGTGTTGAGTCCTTTATTTACAATCTAAAAAGAACTTGCTTATCAAGAATTAGGTCCTTTATTCCGAAATACAAAAAAACTTCCTTATCTAGAGTTGGGTCCTTTATTCACAATCCAAGAAAGACTTGCTTATCTAGAGTTCGGTACTTTACTCCCAGTATAAGGAAAACTTGCTTATCTAGAGGTGAATGCTTTACTCCAAGTCCAGGACAAACTTTCTTTTCTAGAGTTGGGTCTTTTACTCCCAATAAAAGAGAAACTATCTTATCTAGAGTTTGGATATTTACTTTATTATTTAGAGTTCGGTCCTTTACTGAAAAACCATAAAAAAGCTGTTTATCAAGAGTTTGGTCCTTTACTTCCACTACAAGAGAAACTTGCTTATCTTGACTTGAGTCCTTTATTTCCAATCCCAGAAAAACTTTCTTATCTATAGTTGGGTCATTTACCCACAATACAAGAAAAACTTGCTTATCTATAGTTGGATCCGTTATTCTTAATCCAAGAAAGATTTGCTTATCTAAATTTGGGTCCTTTACTCCCAATCCAAGAAAAACTTGCTTATCTAGGTGCTGACCTATTCTAATTCTATATTCAACTTCAGTAAAAACCGTGGTTAACCTTTCCTTTGCTTCTCTCCAATGAAAACAAGCAAAAAACTTTGCAGCTGACCTTTCCTTCTTCTTAATTTCTCTCCACTTAAAACCGAAGAAAGCAACCTAATAATAATAATAATAATAATATCTATATTGTATAGAAAATATTAAAGAATGAAATGCTGTAATACGAACTGTTTTTATACAAAACTAAAAAAAAATCTTATTGCAATGATTTATTTTCAGAAATGTAAAAGTAATAGCATATGCTTGCTCTCTACCGGTGTTTGGCAAAAGTATAAATATATCTCCATTAGAAAGAAACAAGATGGTTTCTTTGTTTGTTTGTTTTGAATTTCGTACAAAGCTACATGAGGGCTGTCTGCGCTAGCCGTCCCTAATTTAGCAGTATAAGACTACAGGGAAGGCAGCTAGTCATCACCACCCACTTCTAGCTCTTGGGCTACTCTGTTACCAACGAATAGTGGGATTGACCGTCACATTATAACGCCCCCACGGCCGAAAGGGCGAGCATGTTTGGTGGGACTGGGATTCGAACCCGCAACCTGCAGATTGTGAGTGGAGCTCCCTAACCACCTGGCAATGCCGGGCCCGAAACAAGAGGGAATTCTCAATAGTCGCGGCACTTGAAACGCTTTTAGGTAGTATTACAGTAAATTAATCGATGAGACCTTACTTTACTTTTTATTAGCTATATTTTTGTGCGCCAGCAATATCAAGCGTAGGACGCGCTTACACACGATTCGATTTTATTATTCTACAACATCTCCACCAGCCTACTCACAAATTGATATTATTTTAGGCAGGATTAGAGTAAATTAAGCTGTGAGTCCTTGGGCGTGGTCAAATACATTAATCGAAAGGGTTTGACATACTATGTCCAAAACTGTGACTGAATCTCAAACCGGTCAAGAGATGACGGAGCTATGAGCTAAAAGTTTGTTCTTAAAAAAAACAAACTTGGAGGCGTTCTATTAGCCGATATGCCGCGGCTAAAAATCACTGTTTTCAAGGTTAAATAGACTTAATTGTGGAATTCTAGATAAATCGTAATTTCTCTAAAAAAAAAGAAAAACATCTCCCGTTGATCCGTTTACTCCCAGTACTAGAAAAACTTTTATATAAACATTTTGTGGTAATTGTAACGCCCTACCATTTCTTATTGTGGTTACATTATTGTTATATTGTTTCAAATATGAAACTTTAATATTTACTCGTGATTGTGTGTGCTCGTCTAGATGGAAGATCGACCATGACTCTTTTTAAAAAATAATTACACACACACACACACTTACAATCTAAATAATTCTAAAAGGAGGTCATTAACTCATTTATATGGAGATTAGCTAGATTATTTCGTCTACAATACACCCACGCCCCACCCTACACGTGAGAACGTTTTCTAGTAATATACTCTTTCTTATTTCTTATCTGGAAGAGATGTAGTGTTTATTGATGTGTGTTTTTTTTTCCAACATGGCAGCTGAAATACGAATCTGTACATGATTTATTTTTATTCCTTGTGGAATTTGTGAAAATATTAAAAGTAGAAGCGTTTCATATAAAGAGTACTTGATGATTATCCTAGTTGCAAAAGAATTAGCAATGAAATTACGTACTTACCCAACTTCTGCATGTTTCAAGTCGTTGTCTTCATCCACCATTCGTGACATCATCTATGATCTCAGTCCCTGAAGGTCAGCGATACTTGAAAAAAATATTTACAGTTGGTTAGTAACTAAAATAATAAATAATGCAATTCAAGGGAAAAATTATTGCTCGGAAAAGGCAACAATCTGGGGCTCTTTTACCCCTTATTTTGTTGTTATTGTTCTAACTGTGGGATTGTTATAGACATGACTGAAAATTACGTTGATGTCTTCAACTTAGCACACGTAATCCGTAAAACGTAAGGATGAGTCTCGTTAGAATAACATTTGCCAGTTTATATTAATCACACTAATGTCTCCTTAACCGTATACTAGAAATCTTATACGGGATTTGTCTTTTTCCATTCTTGATTGAAGAACAGCTTATATATCTACAGTTGGCCCCTTTACTCCCAATCCAAGAAAAACTTCTTTATTTAAAATTGTTTCCTTTACTCCCAATCCAGGAATGTCTTGTTTATCTAGAGTTGGGTCCTATACTTCAAATCTAAAAAGATTGTTTGTTTGTTTTTGAATTTCGCGCAAAGCTACACGAGGGCTATCTGCGCTAGCCGTCCCTAATTTAGCAGTGTAAGACTAAAGGGAAGGCAGCTAGTCATCACCACCCACCGCCAACTCTTGGGCTACTCTATTACCAACGCATAGTGGGATTGACCGTCACATTATAACGCCCCCACGACTGAAAGGGCGAGCATGTTTGGTGGGACGGGGATTCGAACCCACGACCCTCAGATTGCGAGTCGAGCGCCTTATCCACCTGGCCATGCCGGGCCGAATCTAAAAAGAACTTGCTTATCTAGAGTTAAGTCGTTTACTCTCATTCTACGAACAACTTGCTTATCTAGAGTTGGGTCATTTATTCCCAATACAAGGAAAACTTGCTTATCTATAGTTGGGTCCTATAATCCCAATCCAAGAAAAAATTGATGCATCTGCTCATATTTTTTTTATTTGATCAATAATTTTCTTAATTTAAAGATAAAATGACAGGAATTATTGTATTACACCACTTATATATTACTTGTGAGTACTGTGATAATAGGTTCTTTGTTTCTTTTATCGTCATTGTACTGTCTACTGTAAGAAAAGTAATCTCCACCTTTAAACTAACTGCCCGCTTGATAATTGTGAATTGACATTTTGACCTCGTCCAACTTTTAATGTTTGAACTATCAAAACATAATTTAAAAAAGTGATGATCAACATAATTGGTAATTTTGTAACCTTTTTACTTAAAATAAGACTGATTTTCAATATTTGAGATATCTGTTATTTAAAACGTATAGAACCATTAATTAATGTAATTAGTCACTTGATTACTTTTAGCCATTGTTTCACTTTAAATATTTGAAATATATTTAAGCGAGATAAACATATTTTGTTTTTCTGACATTCACCACTTACTGGTTTTCAAACGTAGAAAATATTGAAACTAAGTAAATCATGTATGAGTTTCTCAGTTACACGACTTGAAGTTTCCAAGTTATCTCTTAACAACTGAAATGAATGTCATTCCCATTCTATAACATAATCTTAGAAAATTAAAACTGTCTTAACTGGAGCAAAGTCTGCTTTTCAAAATATTAAGTTTGTGTCATCTCATCCTGTTACCTTCAGAATAACAAAGCAATAAAGTATAACAATCAATCATTTGGTCCAACTAAGCTGCCCTATCCACTAAGTTCAACTAAATATTATAAAATCAAAAACAACTCAAAGCCAGTCCTTATCATACAAATATTTACCAAGCTTTTCCTTACATTATCTCCATCTACCACATCTGCAGGCAACTCGTTGCAAAGGTCAATCACCCTGTTAGAAAAATAAAGCCGTCTTAGCTGAAGATGACTCCTACCTTGCCAAAATTTATACTTATGTCCTCTGGTCCTACCATGCTCACTATTAAATATGAAAAAAAGATGATGCATCAACACTATCAATTTCCTTAACAATCTTAAACACCTCAACCAGATCCCCTCTAACTCTTCTTTTTTCTAGAGCTAAACAATTCATAGATCATATCCTGTCATCGTATGATAATTTTTCCCTCCTTACTGAACCCTTTCCAACAATTCAATGTCCTTTCTAAAGTAAGGTGCTCAAGTCTGAACACAGTACTCCAAGTGTGGCCTATCCATTGGCCTATACAATGACATTATAATTCGTAACGAATCTCGAGGAATGACATCATGCGGATCACGTTTATGGAAGGAAAAGTCTTAAAAGCTAAAAGTCAGAATAAAAAGTATTAGGGTTTCTGAAAATGTTAAATTAAATCCAACGCTTGTAGTAAGTATATACTTATAACTTAGGGCTTGACATTTGCAAGTAGTAATTCAATTTATTCAGATTTTATCTTAATAAAAGTATCTATAAACCAAAGACGTGTGGCAGCACATTATTCTTCAATTTTTAAAAAATATATTAATCTTAGTTTTGTTTGTTGTTATCAAGCATAAAACTACAGAATGAGCCATCTGTACCATGCCCACAACGAGAATCAAAACCCGATTTTTAATGTTATAAGTTCACAGACATACCGCTGAGCCACTAAAGGGGGGGGGGTCTTCATTTTAGCAAATTTATTTCAAATTAATAGTACACAAACATCCACTATAGGTGGCAGCACTATAATTTTTTATATTGGAAAACTGGTTGTAGTCTCCCATGCACTTCTTTCCATTAATAACATATTAATTACAGCAGAATTATTAATAAATTATTCAGAAAAGAACAGAATTAAAACTTTTCTAATGTTAGAATAATGATTATCATGCATAGCTCCACCGATGAGTGTATAGAAGTGTTTGTTTCAGAACTTTTCTCCAAAGATACAAAAGGACTGTCTATACATAACTGATAGACTAGAGGGAATACAGCTAGTCAACAGAACTTGCCACCAGCTCTTCAGCTACTCTTATTTGACTGAACAGTTGAATCGAATCGTCACTTTTATTGCACATCTAGGGCCACATAGTACGGACACGTTTTTGCGGCAACGGGACTCGAATCAAAAACCATCAGATGCACAGCCCTAGCACACTGATCACTAGGTTATTCTCGGCCCAAAATAAGATAACTAGTAGCACTAAATTATTTCATGAAACTTTTGGATCATCTTTTAGGTGGGAAACAACAGTTAAATCTAAAGTGGGTAATATATAGTTTAATGTCAGTGAATCATCCAAATAATTTAAATAATAGATTATAGACTAGTTACGCGTCAGCTGTATGGCTGTAAAAGAACTTACATGAATATTCACTGACGTAGACTCTCAAGTCGATTGAAACTCGTAGTACATTTGCGGTAGGTTTTTTTTCTACATTGGGAAAACGTGGGGTTAATTAACTTTATAAAAAACGAAATAATCCTTCCGCTGTCCTTGATTTTATTTACGAAACTTCTGCGTTGAAGATCCTAAGTTTGGGTGTGTTAGGCCCTACTATAAAGACAAGATGGTCGTCATCTCAGAACTTTGCTGATGATTTCCAGCCCTGCTATGTTATTGGTTTAATTCACTAAGTTGACTCATCATTTAGTTAGCTTCCTATTTAAAGTCGTGTCTGCTCTCAATTTGATTTTTACTTCACTTAAGCCAGACGCCATAGCAATCATTCTGTCTTTGAATTATTATTTTTTTGTCTTTACCAAATAACAAGCGGTGAGTTCCTGTTTCTGGGCTACAGACACACACGGGTGTCAAACACTGAACTGTAAAAATAAAATTAAATAATCAAACATCTAATTAGTCTAAATAACCCTCACCAGTGGCTCGAGGGGTAAGTCTCCAGACTTATAATGCTCAAAATTGGGTTTCGATACCCGTGGTGACCAAAGCACAGATATCCAATTGTGAATCTTTGTGCTTAACAACCACCAATCCAAGGTCTAAATAACAAGATATTGTGATATAACAATAAGTTATTTTATTTTATTTGCCTTTAGTTTGTTGTTGTTGTTTTGTCAATCAACAATTTTGAAATAATGAGCTCTCCGTGTTGTATTCACAGCGAGGATCTAGCCCTGAGTTTTCGGAAACTGCAGCATTCAATGGTATTAATTTATTGAATTTGTCTTACCAACTGGTTCTAGTTATATATGTTTCCAAAAACAAACATAGACAAATCATTTCCTATAAATAACGGACTAAATTTTGTGGTTTAGATAAAAGATGAACCTATAATTATTTAATTATCGCTTCTTTGGTCTAGTTAGATTACAACTTAGTTACACCTATACCATATAATGTGTTTCACCTGATTATTAATGTTCCCACATTGTTCTAATCAGTCTAGATTTCATAATCAATTTTAACTAAAAGACTAAAGTTCGGAGTTTCTTTTTTGTTTGTTTGTTTATGAAACATAGTGCGAACGGTTCTAGGGGCGACATCTATCGTCCTATAATGAATGTAGCTGTTACATTTCAATAAGAGTAATTGCGACCTTCAAGAGGCTCAGCTATAAATCTGAAGACTTATAACTCTAAAAACCGGGTTTCGATACCTATGGTGGACACCGAACAGGTAACCCTTTGCGTCAATAAGTGTTACGCTAAACTTTACCTAATTGAATCATCTTTTTTTCTATTCTTTATATAGTTAATAAGTAATTGCTAAAGTATAATATTTCTTGAATTATAAACCCAGGATGCAACTCTTGTTCACAACTTGGAGATTTACGAAATATCAAAATAGTGGGTGAAACTTTCACATAAAATTTGTGACCTTAAAAAACTCAAGAGAATGAGCACGTCAAGCGCTTTACCAACGTTCCTGTGATTTAAAATAAACGTAGTCTCCCAATGTTGCTGATGGCCTTGACTTTAAGTAACCTCTTAATGCTCCTGGTAACTTTGATGTTAAGTAGCCTCCCAACGTTCCTGGCGACCTTAACCTTAAGTAACCTCCTTGGCATCAAAGTTGTTTAAGTAAATAAGTTGGAATTCGAAGTTAACAAAAATGCATTCAACATTTAAATTTTGCCAGTTATATTTTCAAAAACAAGTAAATGGTTTCACCCATAATGTACCTTAAAGTGTTGAAGAAGACGCTGTCAGAATTTATAACATATATAATTCTTTCTTTTTCCAATTATCAAAATAAATGGCTTTTACTTATACTTGTTAATAGTATAAACGTATACTGTGTTGTTGTTGTTGTTGGGTTTAGGATTCTTTTGCAGTTGGTGTCTGGGACTTGTTGACAATAAATTCAACGATAAATGGACAGCACGTACTTCACTTGTTTTCAAAATAAAATATTGTTACGTCTCCGTTCGTTAGTTAATTTTCCGTAACTTCGGTCCGACGAAACTTTAGCGATACAAGTCCTTTCTTAAATAAAATTGGTTTATTCTTTTTGAATATAACTTTGCGATACACTTAATTTCAACAGTCGCGCTATAACAAACGCTATAATTCACAACGAACGTCTCACGTGCTCAACTCAACAGTACTCAGTTCAATTACACGCTCTCTGACTGCAGTTCAATTACTCATTGCCCCTTCACGTTGTGACCGTCTTATATATATACAAGACTAACACAT